TTGTCAGAGCACCTAACTCTTTTGCACAGCACTATTCGAATTAAACCAGACAGAGCTTTGGAAGAATTATTTATGCAGTGGTGAATGCTTAAGGGTATTTAACACAAACAAAATTTTGATGCATGGATTGATAAATATTTTTTGAGTGGTTTTAATTTGAAATAATATACATGTAAATAATAAATCCCTGAAATATTAAGAAATTGAGGGTTTTCACTGGTGCTTAGATAAGAGACTTTGTTTTTTTTCCTATAAAATTCCATACTAAATTTCATACAAATTTTTATCCTGATAAAAAAAATCTTTAAAAACTATCCCAATATAATTGGTAAACATTATTCATATTACCAATTTAATTGTAAATATATGCGCAAAATTGCTGATTTCTGAAAAAAAAACTGTTTGTGTTATTTATCCTTAAATATAAAGAACCATTTATGATCGCATTTTTGAAAAGCTAAACGTATACAATTTGCGATGTTATTTGGATTTAATTTCAAGACGCATTGTCTTGAATGATCCATACACAATGTATACAGGTAAAAAGTTTGAACTAAAATTTGCTGTAACGTGTTTATACTTCAGCTCGATAATATTAAATAACATGAAAAAAAAACCGTGTGACTTGATTGATTTCTACGGTATTGATACAGTAGAAGTTAGTATATATAACTTTCCTTTTTTTCTTTGCCTTCTAGACAATATCTGTTGATCTTGGGAATTAAGTCAAAAGAAACCGAGTTATAAACAAATTAGCATTTATTAGGTGACTTGATAAATTTCTCTGGAAAAGTCAAGTATTCTAAAGAAAACGAAAAACAGGGGGAAAAAAAGATTTACGACTGGATCCACATTTACATGTTCACTATTTGTTCATTATAGGACTGTTCCTGTGTATTTCAAACTTTTAAAGGAAAAAAAAAATCATATTTTGACTTTCTGCTGAGTCCCCCATCAGTCCGAATCCGTTCATATAGAATCGATGACAAATTAAATGTTAAGTAAACTTTTATTGCGCTCTTTTTTCTACGAAGTTCAAGAAAACTAATAAAAATCAAAGTGAAAAATTTAACGGTTTAAACTTCAGTTTTTTTAACAGATAATTTTTATGTAGAATTGCCAATGAAAAGTAATTGATTTATTGATTTACATGATATACATATAAAACTTTTTAGTGGCATGGAAGGGCCATGTACTTGAATAAACATATACTTTAAATTAGTTTTGATCAAGTTCAGACCCCATGGCATTTGATATTTGCCTCTTCTAATTAAGACACGCAAAACAAATTCCTATGATAATACAAGCGCGATAACTCTTATAATCAGAGCATTCCAATGAACAATAAAATTGTAAGTAATACTTAAATTCATTTAAAAAGATTTTCTGGATCTAAGGAATCTACCCTGGCTAGAATGACGTGTTGTCGAAATTTGCATCAACATATGACACTTCATAATATCTGTATAAGTATAGACTGACAAAAGTAAGTTTTTTTCTTTATGATTTCTTTCTTGTGCGCGTCTTGTTTAAAACTATTTTCGGATTATTCACCAAAAATTTCCCAAATATCTCCTAATTCTTACTTATTTCGTCAAATAAAATAATATCCGGTGGAGGGGGTTACATGTATTTTCAATTCTGAATCTATGTTAACAATGGTTTGGACCGGTAAATACGGAGAAGAGAATTTGACTTCACCTTTTAATAAAAACAAATGTGCAAAATATAGAAACAGTGATAAATATTTAAAATAAAGATTGTTTAGTGAAAGCCCTTTTTTGAAATAATATTGGCTTTAACTTTTCACAATTTAGATGCAAGGAAAGCTGACCGAAACTCAACTTCGCTTTATAGTCCATGAGCCACTGATTTGTGAGGTGTTTCTCAATTATTTTCACATTCAGCAAGATTAAACATATCAGTGCAGTTATACGTTTACAAGTATACTCATTATACACACATATTTCGACAATATGCATTTTTATACAGTTACAAGCTAACAAATCAAGTACTGCCTCAAGAGATAACTGAATGTCCATCCAATGCACTACTCAATGCTGTACACCCTCTTCCTTTTCTATCTTCCAACCTCTTTCAAATGGACTAGGTAATTCGGGATCCTGCCAAAGTCACCTGATAATTTGCTCTGAGGCAGTGCTTCTTCAAACAGTCTAAGGAAGGTGGAAGCTGGTGGCTCTCTATCTCCCCTCTTTTTAGCACAAAATATTGGTATCTTAGTTGATTCACCTTTCTGTTTGACGCCTTTGGATTATAAAGATGGAAAGTAAATACTTCTAACTGGGTCATCACATTTTCAGAGAGGTCTCTTCCCTTGGAGCATTTCTTGTATATCTTTGCTTCCAGTCGTCAGTTCCAATGCACTTGCTTTTCCTTTCCCAGCAAATGCACTTACATTGCACAGTGGAGGAGTGCAACCCAACTAGTGCCCGACATGATTCAGTTCTGATACTGTTGGCAACTTTATTTATGCCAACCATATTAGTGCGAGTTTTACTCCCACATTTTGATGGACATTGGAACTCCAACATTGTCACTGAATACCAATGTCATGATGAAAACATCAAAGTCCTCTAAACAGATTTGTATGGCACTATAGCCCTGGCTTGCCTCATGAAGACAGGCATCCATTTACCTCTTCTTGCAGGCTCCGGAGATCTGCCATCTCCTTGTGGTCTTGATATGTTATTCTATAAGATATTTCTATCAAGTTTGCATTGAGAACCTTTTCATGCACCTTCCTTTAAAACATGGCTTCATCCATATGTATTCGATAACAAAAAAGCTCTGTAATGCTATTTTTGTTGTTAATCGTGCTCAAGAAACTGCTCTTGTCTCTGACGATATGAGCGCAGGTAATGTTCTGCAGTTGATTGCCATGCTCTCTTAATTGATCTCATCTCTTGCTGTTCCTGATGAATTCTCTATTTACGTTTCAAGAACAACAACTTTCCTGTCACTGTTCACCCAGCCCTCAGTACCGTTGAAAACATCGTGTTTGCAATATTTCCAAATATAATTTGATCACCTTTCACTAAACTAAACTCGTCCCGTCAAACAGGACGCAGGCTTTTCTGGCAGTTGTTCAGCTTCAGAAACATTCTTCTTTAACGCTGCTGCTAATGCAGCTGTGCTTGTCTTTTGAAGCATCCCATCTGGTGTGTATAGAGCCTACGACAACGGTCCTTGTGGTACCTAGAAAGAATATCCTCCATTTGTTTGTAACTATCTTGTGTAATCACAATTATCCGAACAAACAAGATTCTGTCAGCTTTCAAGATTGCTCAGTTGAATTCTCATCCCGCTTTTGACTCCAGTTGCTGAATTTCTTAAGTCTTTGAGTCTAAATCAGGTCATGGTACACAGGGAAAAGTGGCTCGCATGATCTTCATGCGATTGCCTTTTCGCATGAATTTCGTGCGAAAATCATATAAAAACAATGCGAAAAGTCCCACATGTGAATTTCATGCGAATGTCCTCATACAATATTTATGCGAAATTCATGCGATTTTCATGTGACTGAAATTTCGCATGATATTTATGCGAATTCTAATTTATCTGTTTTTCATGTAAAAATCGTGCGAAATTCGCATAAATATTGTGCGATATTCATATATCAAGAAAAAAAGCAATGAACAAGGAAATTGAACATTTCAACATTTATTTAGGTTTTTCTGCCACATTGAGTGATAAACATTGCCAGTCTCTGATGTCATATTGCTTGGATGTTCCTGGGTAATCCATTGACTTTAATGATCGCTGTGTTTGGTTTACAGGCAGTTTTTCAGTACGTCTTTCTCTCAGTCTTGTGTCCTGACAAGTGTTTCCTACAAAGATTATTTATTAATTAATTAATTGATTAATTATTATATCAATTATTATAAAATACTATTACCCATACTAATATTCCAATTGTTTAGGTCAAAGGGACCAATTCCTAGATTAGGATGACATTAAATACAATAAATTCAATGATATCACTTGAAAAGTCCATGTTTTGGCAACTTGAATTACTGAGTATGTTAAATGGCACTATATGTTTAGAGTGAAACAGAAGACCATGTGTTTAGCACATTCATAACTGCATATTAGACTTTAAAGGGATGTGTCGGACACCATACAGTGTGTTATTGACCTAGCGACTCTATATATCGGGCTGCATTTGAACCATAAATGAGATAAAAAGTTTCATTTTAATTGTGATATTTCAGTTGAATGACAATAAACATGTAACTGATGAATTTTTAATATATTACAGACAACAGTAAAATACAATTACTGAAAAGATTGATTTTTTTAAATCTGCATAGAATATTTAGAATACCTCAACTGTGAATAAATTAAATGCAATATATAGTTACACTTTTTTTGCATGGACCTCAAATTAATCCCATAGAAGATTGAACCTTTTGTTTGACCTATGTCTAAATTATTTTATGGGATACACTTGGTCTATAAAAGTTGTGTTTACATGTCTCTACACATGTGTCAGAACAAAACACACTGTCTGTGTGTTGTGTTCTGACACATATGTAGAAACTTGTAATGACAATTTGTTTAAATAAAAATAACCTTTAATTACTTACTCGAAATTTAGTAAACCTTCAAATAGATGTCACTAAGCATAAAAAGGACCACTCGATTCACCTGACTGCGCTACGTAGAACCTGAAATGAGAACGCAATTCGAATTTACTCTGCAAGATTTCGTTGCAAGTTGAATTATCAATAAAAATGTGCAATATAACCACAAAATATGACAAAAAATTAACAAAGCATACATATTTACCATTGTTTCAAAGAAGTATATCACAATCGGCCAAAAGGAAAGTCTAGAACAAACCATAGAAAGGACCTCTTGCTGACTCGGATTATTTTTCTGTAACAGGAAGTGCAAGTAGAACCCTGGCTAATCGGTTTCGTATTCATCCAAGAATCGGGAATTATCTTACCATGCTTACTCTTTTTAGTATTAGTCGTTCAAATTTTTATCTTAAAAATGCATCTCCGCTTCAAAGACGAACGCAGATGACTAAGTGATATAAATTTACTTTATGGAACCAAAGCTAGTTTTTTTTTTTATGGAATGCCGTACGTCACAAATTACGTCATCATGCGACTTAGAAAGCAGAAAGAAAGAAAGAGCAGAATGTTTTCAACTCCATATTTTCTGTAAGTTTGTAAGATTCTCATCTTCTTTTTTATATCAGATGGATGTAATAACTTTATTTGGGAATATTTGTTGACAGCTTAATAACAGATATGAGGTTCAAGTGGATCTAACATTATCTATGGCAACGCATAACGTTATGTGTTGAAAATGAAAGATGGGCCTAGTACAGGTTCTCTGCTTTTCTTACAATATTATTGAAAAGGCCTATTGATAGGCCTAATGTTTTAGTGTGTTTTAATTCCTGTTGCACCGGGATTTAGTATATAAAATTACACTACAGCAATCAAATAACACACGTAGCACTATTGGGGGGGGGGGGGGGGTTGTAGATAGAATGTTGATGTTCTATTGTTAAAATGATAAAAATTAATGTCCTACGTACCCGGTGAGAGCTTGAGATTATTCTAACTACGGTGGTTGCAACCCTCCCTTTTGGATTTGCAAAAAAAAAAAAGATAATAAGAAGGAATAAGAAGAAAGTTCCAAATATTTGTTTGTTTGTGTTTTTACCAAAGAAAATGTTCAGTGAAAAGCTAATGTTGTAGGATAGGATTCTCAGGTTCTGAAATCAATATTTTCTTTTCTTTTTCAAAAACTTTTCAGGTAATCCATAGAAATATTTTTTCCTAGTTTTATCAACCTCCTCCTTTAAAAACCATACCCAAGGCCATCCTTAAAATATCCCATACGGAAAAAAAGGGCAAACAAACTACTATAACAAATTACTAACAAACCACTATGGTTTATAAGTAGTTTAATAGTATAGCAAATCACATGCAAATGAGCTAACAAACTATACTCTAACAAACTACTATCAAACCACTCTGAACAAACTACTATCAAACCACTCTAACAAACTACTATCAAACCACTCTAACAAACTACTATCAAACCACTCTAACAAACTACTATCAAACCACGCTAACAAACTACTATCAAACCACTCTAACAAACTACTATCAAACCACTCTGAACAAACTACTATCAAACCACTCTTACAAACTACTACCTGGTATCAAACCATTCTAACAAACTACTATCAAACCACGCTAACAAACTACTATCAAACCACTCTAACAAACTACTAACAAATCACTGGTGACAAATCCATCAGCAAAACACTAGATTTGAATTTTCCTTTAGAAATCCACAAGTCTTTGAAAACACCTAAAACAATCACATTTTGAAATATTCAACAAGTCTTGTTTCAGAGTATTTAAATTCCAGGATTCACAAGTTTAGCCAATGCATTAGTGCAACATTTCAACATGTTCCCTTTTGTTTAGGAGATGCAATTCCAAGTCAATGTCCATGTACTTATCACATATTCTCCTTCATGTTGTGTACATCTTCATAGTATTTTTCACCAAAAAAATGTTCTTCAAGCTGACATTTAAATATTCCCTGCTTCATCTGGCATGGAAAATGCTGCAATATTTCTTTTTTTTTCTGGCCTCATTGCAACTTTGAAAGACATCTTTTTTGTCTTATTTTCAAGTATACTTCCCATAATCCAATGCATAACTGATCTAAACTAGTAAAGGAATTAATTAGGTCAATCTGAAAATAAATAAAAACCCAAAGCTAGTAAAAAGCATATGCATCCACATTCACAGAAGGTTACTGTAGTCCAGCATTATTTTAGGTAAAAAGGAACTTCATGACATGCATTAAATACCTCTTCTGTATCCAGATCCATCTTTTAATAATGTTAATTGCTGCTTTTTCCAGTCAGGGATCTTACAGAATGATACTAACAATTTGAATGTCCCTTCACCAGTTCCTTTGTTTCTGACCTGCTTGGTGGTTTGAAAATTGGCGCAAATAGCTAACACCGGATGTAAAGATTAAGCTGTTCTTGGAAACTTCAACAATTCTAGATAATTCAACCCTAAACACATCTGTAAAGTAATTTCCCATGTGGTTAGATGCAAATGCTATACTAATAAAACACTGTTGCAAGATACCAAGTCTAACAAACTATAAAGAAATCACAATCACCAGAAATGAAAGACTAACAAACCACTGCAGCTATTTTTAGAAAAAGTGGTTTGTTAGTGGTTCATTAAATGCTATACTATCAAACTACTTTAACAAACCACAAAAATATAGTTTGTTGGTAGTTTGTTGATAGTTTAATAGTAGTTTGTTAAAAATCTTTTCCGTTTGGGATTGTTTGTTTGAAATTGCCGCCTGAAGGGTTTCAGACACAGGAGGGCGGGAGGGAAATTATTTTTTTTAATCAAAAATGAATTTAAAATTTTTAATAAAAATCTCAGCAAACAGTAAATACATTTTCTGACATAAAAAAGGAAAAAAAGAATCTACCATCAACAAAAAACCCAATTTTACATAGATCTGACACTATATTTCAGTGTTTTGTAAGGCGCATGTGATACATGTAATGGACCAAAAAAAATTGATTAAATAAAAAAAAATCTTCCTACTTTTGGTCAATAAAATATTTTCAGGAGGGAGCATTTCAATGAGGCGGGAGGCAATTCCAAACAAACTATAATTTTATTTTGGCCCAACCCAGTATCCTATTGAGTTATTCAACTACATGCAGGTGTTAAATGTACATTATAATACCCCCCCCCCCCCCTTTGAAAAATCCTTCAACCCCTCAACAAAAAAGATACCCCATTGTCCTTTCCAGAAGTACCTGTGTGCATTTCAAAATATATGCATTTGCAGATATAAAGAGGCTTACTTACATCTAGAATGCAAGACAGAAAGTCCTAGTCACTTCCCTAAAATGAGTCCTACAGTACATATATTTACTAAATATTTATTAGATTCGAAAATATTTATTAAATGTTGTATTCTATACTTACAGGTATAATTTGCTGGTAATAAGCAGATCTATGCATGGCACTCCATTATACCACACTGATAGCTCCTCAAAGATTATAAATATGATACATGTAAACAGGTAAAAAAAAATCTAATAGAGAAATATTTTTTGCAGAGCCTGTGGTATACATTGTTGGTTATTACATGTATAACAGTTTTGTTATTACAAGTATACATGTAGCAAAACCTTAACCATTCAGCTTATTTTTGCTTATCTTGCATTTATTTAATGTAAATATGTATATAATCTTTGTTAATTTATAGAATACATGTTTTAAATAAAGTGACAAAGAGATAATGACCTTAATGTTATTGATCCTACAGTACTGACATTTTTGAGTTTCTCTGTATAGGCACAGTTACTTGTCATCACAAGGATCAGAATTCAAGTACCAGAGTAGTCCTAACTCCTAAATCTTCCTGATTTGTCAAAAGTACATGTAAGTATTTTATAATATTTTTTGTTAGATCACCTGAGCCGAAGGCTCAAGTGAGCTTTTCTGATCAAAATTTGTTCATTGTCTGTCTGTCGTCGTCGTTGTTGTCATTAACTTTTCACATTTTCAACTTCTTCTCAAGAACCACTGGGCCAAATTCAACCACACTTGGCACAAAGTATATTTAGGTGAAGGGGATTCAAGTTAGTTCAAATGAAGGGCCATGCCATATTTAAGGGGAGATAATTCAGATATAGTGAAAATTTGATGGTATAATTTAAAAATCTTCTCAAGAACCACTGTGCCAGGAAAGATGAAACTTACAGCGAAGCATCCTCAGGTAGTGTAGATTCAAGTTTATTCAAATCATGACCCCCAGGGGTAGGGCAGGGCCACAATGGCCAATCAAAGTTTTATATAGAAATATATAGAAAAATTCTTTGAAAATCTTCTCAAGAAAAACTGTACCAAGTGTAGTGTAGATTCTAAATTGTTCAAATCATGACCTCCGGGGATAAGACATGGCCACAATGGGAAAGCAAAGTTTTATATAGAAATATATAGACAAATTCTTTAAAAATCCTTCTCAAGAAACACTGTACCAGGAAAGTTGAAAAGCTATATTCACGGTCATATTGATATGTAAGCATCCTCATGTATTGCAGATATAAATTTGTTCAAATCATGAGTACCCTTTGGGGTAGGGAGGGAAATGATGGGGTGTCAAATTTCTGCTCCACCCCACCACCACACCCTTTCAGTAAACTTTTCAATTCTGATCTGATTTGTGTGTTTTCCTAGCTGATGTGGTCAGGTGAGCGATGTGGCCCCTGGGCATCTTGTTTAAAATTTTGACAATTATGACTATGAAGCTGGGAATATTTCATTGAATTTTTCTCACCTAAGCCAGAAGCTTAAGTTAGCCCTTTTTATGCCCCCGTAAACAAAGTGTCGGGGTACAGTATATAGTTTTTGTCGTGTTCGTCTTTCTGTCTCTATGTCTGTCTGTTTGTTCGCAAAAACTTTAACCTTGCCCATAAATTTTGATTTATTGAAGCCATGACTTTCATATTTCACATGTGTATTCCTTGTGACAAGACCTTTCTTTGGGTACCACCAAATTTGACCTCTTGACCTTGGAGTTTGACCCACTTTTACATGAAAATTTTAAACTTTTACTTTGGCCATATCTTTTGAACAGTAGACACCAGGACATTTATACTTCACATGTGTATTTTTTATTGAAAGACCTTTCATTGGATACCAACAACCTTGACCTTGACCTTGCAGATTTCTGTACCTGTGAAAAACTTGAACATTGGCCATAACTTTTGAACTGTAAGGGATAGGGCTTTCATACTTCATATATGTAATCCTTGTGAGAAGACTCTTCATTGGATACCAAGCACTTTGACCCTTTGACCTTGACCTTTGAGTTTGACCTACTTTAAAAAACAAGCCTTTACCATAACTTTCAAAGGGTTAGGGCTAGTGCTTTCATATTTTACATATTTAATTCTTGTGACAGACCTTTTATTAAATAACAAGAACTTTGACCCTTTGGCCTTGACCATGGAGTTTGACCTACTTTTAAAAGAAAATTAACCTTGGCCATAACTTCTGAAAGGTTAGGTCTAGGGCTTCCATACTCTACATTTAAGTAATTCTATGTGGCAAGACCTTTCATTGGATACCAATTAGTAACTTAGCCTTTAGACCTTGACCTTGGTGATTTTTGTACTTATTGAAAAAACTTTAATAATGGCCTGCTTTCAAATTTCACAATTGCGTTCCAGTGAGAATATGCTACTTTTGGTGCGTACCTATTAATTAAATTTGCATTTAAGAAAAGGTTAATCTTTGCTATGTTAATGCCATACGGGGGCATCAGTGTTTCACAAACATATCTTGTTTTGGTCAAAATTTGTCGTAAAACTTTTCATTTTCATGCATTGTTGATCGAAAGTTTAAATGCATTTTATAAAATAAAAAGTACAATTGTAAAAATACCAGCTTATAAAAAGTTCTTAAATTTGTGAGATTCTCAATAATTTGACACATTTCAGCTAGTGACACAAGAGAAGAATGTGGAGTAAATGCCAATAAAGGCTCGACTGCAGGGGTATACCTGACTTCTTGGCAATTTCTGGTTATCACCATCCGATTCAGAGGAGAAGACCAACTTTAAGGTGACCCGTGCATTGGTAAGGATTGAAATTTAATTTCATTATTATGGACACTCGAGGGATGCAAGTGTCAATTTATTGTTATTTGTTTTTAGACCTATTGCTTCTCTTTTCATCAGTAGTTGTGTGTCATCAGTAACAAATTATCCATTACTGACTGAACCATTATCAACCAAATTTTGCATGGTAAAAGTGCTTCTTGAAAGAATGCAAACAAACTAAGTACATGTATACAGTTATAATGAGTAAGAGTACCATTTCCAAAATTGTACATTACGTTGCCCCTGGGTAGTAGGTTCTTAATGGTTATGGTAGACATATTAAAAATGCAGTAATTCTTTGACAGTCATCTTTTCTGCTCCTAGGTACTCAGCAAATAAACTTAATGCATGCATATATTATTTTACTCTATGTTTAGGCCTTTATATATGCCTATATGACATCTTAAAGCAAGGACTAGAGTTTCTGAAATGCAAACCAAACTTAAAGGTCAAGGTCAAAATTGTAAACATCTGAAGGAAGGTTTTGTCATAAGGAATAAACTTGTGAAATATGAGAATTTTAGTATTAACTGTTAAAAAGTTATGGCCTAGATTATAGTTTTTAAAAGTGGGTCAAACTCTTAGGTCAAGACCAAAAGGCAAAAAAAAAAAAAAACATCATTGAAGGCTCTTGTCACAATGATAACAAAATAATGTGAAGTATCAGATTGATAGCACTAACTGTTCAAAATTATAGCCTAGGTTAAAGTTTAGGGATTTTTTTGTAAAAGTGGATCAAACCCATATATCAAGGTCAAGAGGTCAAATTTTATAGTACCCCAAAAATATTCTTGTCACAAGAAGTACACCTGAGGAATATGAAGCCATAGCCCCATCCACTCATAAGTAATGGGTAAGGTTAAAGTTTTTGCAGACAAACAGACAGAAAGATCAGGACATACAGTGGGAAAAAAATATTATAACCCAATAATCTTGGCTAATGGAGGCAAAATTAGTGCATAATTATCTTTTCATGACCGTTTAAATAATTACAAAGATTCAAACTTATTAATCCTTTAAAAAGTTGAACTTGTTATTTTATTTCATAAAAAGAAAAAGAAATGAGATAAAATTCATGACCATATTTTTAGATTTATTTCTGTTCTTTGCTTTACAGAGAGCTTTCGCTGATGGACATACTTGTTCAGAAAAAATCCATGCACCTACCACTGAGCCATAGACTTCTGGCGTGCGTTTAGAAGGAACATAGATGCAATGATAGGTAAATTTTGCTTTTATTCCCTTGCAACAGATACAAATTGCATCATCAGATCTAGGTCAATGAAACGGAGACAATTATCTGAAGGTTTTTTTGAAACCTGACACAAGATTATTTTTAAGTTTAAAGTCATTTGCAGGAAAATTGTTTTCATTTTTTGTCAATAATTTTTAACTTAAGAAACATTATATACATGTATTCTTTTAATTATAATTTATGATTTTGAATTAATTATAATTTATGATGTATGATTTTTAATTTTTTAAAGATCATTTAAAATGTAGGCATTATAAGTTCAACCTTTTACCAAATTGAACTTAGGGATGATTTGAGATTGCTATATCTACATTTGTTCATATTTTATGTTATCTTGATAAATATGGAAATATTGACTTTGGAAATGCAGTTGTAAAATTCATGACTGTATTTCATTTACCAATACCCAGTAGTCATTAAGGTCTTCCGTTTCCAACGGAAGACCTTATTGTTTTCGTTCGGTTTCTTTTTCCCTATTATTATTCTTTTTTTTTCTTACCGATTTTGTGCACGCGAGTTCTCGGGAATGGCTTGACAGATTTTCACCAAACTTTCAGATCTGATAGATATTCCTCTGAACCTTGTCGGAAATTTAAGTCGTCGATGACGTCACTTCCGGTCGTGAGATATAGACGATTTTCCTATATTTAGGGGGTCAGCTTGTCCTGGAAACTCCTCCGGAACGACTTAAGATATTGACTCAAGATTTTCAGTGAAAGTAAAGGAAGGTTTGTTGAGTTGCAGGCAGGCGTCCAAATCTTTCTAGCGCAAAAGGCGCTGATGCTCGGTAGAGCCAAAAATATGTCTCAGAAATATCTCACAAAATATGACACGTTTTGTTTCATATCTTCGTATCTATTCATAATTTGTTAAAACATATTGAAGAAAAGTTGTGCAGTTTTACAAGACCTTTCATTTGAAATCAAGAAAAAAGGGCTGATCCCTAAAATGAGGGGCTCAAAGGGGTCAAAAGTATTTCATGCCTAGCTCTTTAATGATCAATATTTTGTGATACATTACAGAAGCAAAGATATTTATCTTAACAATTTGCAACAATATATTGTAAAATTTTAATCATATGTTACGTAATTAGGGTTCATAAGGGACCAGAATGCAAAATCTTTGACGCTTTATATCTCAAAAAGGGGGAATATTTTAATAAGCGATATTGAACAAAAAATGGTCAGTATAAAGTTCTAAACATTATGCATACTTTTAATTTTTGAAAATTGGCCCCTTTAAGGACTTGGAGAGGTGGCCCCTAAATATTTCCATTCAACATATCTCCATAACGGAAAGTAATCTCTGAATAAATGTTGAACAAAAAGTCTTCAATATCACAAGACCTTTCATTTTAAATCAAGAAAAAGGGTCTGACCCCTAAAATCAGGGGCTCAGAGGGGCTAAAAGTTTTTCATTTATATCTCTTAAATGATCAATATTTTGTAATACATTACAGAAGCAAAGATATTCATCGTAACAATTTGCAACAATATATTGTAAAATTTTGATCATATGTTTCGTAATTAGGGGTCACAAGGGGCCAGAATGTTAAATCTTTGACGGCTTGTATCTCGAAAAGGGGGAATATTTTAATAAGCAACATTGAGCAGAAGATGGTCAGAATAATGTTCCGAACAATATGCATCGTTTGAAGATTGGCACCTAAATATTTTCATTCAAGATATTTCTTCAACGAAAAGAAATATGTGAATAGGTGCTGAACAAAAAGTCTTCAAAATCACGAGACCTTTCATTTGAAATCAAGAAAAAGGGACTGGCCCCTAAAATTAGGGGCCAGATCACGTTCATCTATAAGTATTTGATATTGTTGAATAAATCAAAACAATTTAATCAAGTGAGAGAACTTTTGATATCATTATTTTGTAACAAAGATCATAGTCAAAATCATATCTCATCTCATCGAAATATCGGACGGAAGACCTACTTGTTGCTCGCAACGAGATCTCATCTAGTTACAATTATTTTCTCTTGCAGATGAAACAATCTCCAGACAGATGGATGGCTATGAACAAAGAATTGTCAAAAAAATTGAAGTATTCAATAAAGAAGATTAAGAAACAGAGTGTGTCCAGTTGTTTGTTCATCAAAAGAATAACTTGGATAATCATATTGATGCTTCGTCAAAATCTGCATGTGTTCAAATTAAGCAGTTTCAAAGTAAGATTGAGATAAAGCTCGATCATTAAGTCATTTGCTGGACCAGATTTTGAGATTGTACTTATTGCATATGTTTTGAATATCAGTAACAGTGAAACCTTGATGATTAGTTGTACAAATTCATATACAGATCTAAGTATTAGAATTTCCTAATACTTTTCTTTTCATGGATTAAAAGAATTGAAAGTCCAATATACTAGGAAAAATATATACCGAGTACACCACATGGATTTGATATGAATATCATATGATATTCACATGAAATTCACACGAAATTCATATGAAAATCTGTAAAGAAAGTAGCAAAAATATTCATATGAATTTCGTGCGAATTTTTATTCACATGATATTCGTGCAAATTTCATGTCAAAATCGCATGATATTTTCATGTGAATATCATGCGTGGTCCTTTTCGTCTCTTTTTCATGTGAAGAATTCGCACGATATTCATGCGAATTTCATATGAATTTCATGCAAGCCACTTTTGCCTGTGTACTCTTTATCTGGTGGATCTGCTTCCAGTTTTTCATTTCTGAAGTTTATATATGCTTCTTAACCAATTCGATATTCTATGCGACAAGTACGTTTTTATTTCCCTAAGTATAACCCTGGCAATTGAAATGCTAACAAGATCCTGCTTCTCTGCAAAAGGGTTGACCCGGTCATTCCTTTGTCAATTTAACAATTACTGACACAACCTGTTCGTCCCTCTGAATTCTTGGACGTTGCAATGCTGTATGAGATACAACTGATGATTTGTTTCCAACCATGTGCCGTCGAAGTCCTAGAAAGGAACATAAATACTCTGCAGTTATATTAAAGCGGTTAACTGCTGCTTTCAAACTGAAGCGAGCTGGCTGTTCCACAAGGTGTCTGTGTGTCTTTTTTATGTGATTTCAGAGGTATGATCCACAGAAATTCGTCTAAAAGGGTTATTACCAGAAATTTGCATTGCATATCGTCCACTTTAGAAAGCTTCATACACACAACAATGACTTTCCCGTTGAAAGATTATAATTTGCATACATGTAAGTTTACCATATTCGAAACACCAGGAGATAAGTTTGTGCATAGTACTGCCTAGAGATGCTAGTTCCAATTTCCTTCATGCACGCAGGAGACCAAGGATGATACAGAGATAATCAGGATCATGTTTTAGAAAACGTTATGTCTTTTTTTTACCTTATGGCCTCGACCTTATGACATATTGACGTGATGGGTCTGTTTTACACATCCTTTCTCATAAATACCAAAATTCATTTTTTTAAAATACTATAATATTGATATACCTGTATCTACTTTATGTAATGAATATGCGCTCAGAGTAAATCAACAGAATTTTTTCTTCAATTTTTATTTTTAGGGTAGGGATAAAGATTTGATACGAAGTCAAGTGATTGTTACTGAAATAAGGTTTTAAGATGCAGATAATTGAAAACATTCAATCTTAAGATAAAACAAACGTGCAATATGTTTTTGATGCCAAATTTTTACAGTTGTAATTTCTTTCAGCAGATTAAAATATCAAAACTGTATGTTCCACTTTTATTGTCATGGGTAGAATTATAGTTGCATTTAATTAAGAGGGCTCATTACATAGCCAATATTGAATAATTAATGAAAAGGGCAATAGCATGGTCTGCATCTATTTTCAAGAAAATATCATTCGAAATGTTACTATAATAGTTCTGAATTTTGAATTGTTCATCAATTCTCTAAAATAATTTTTTTCATGCATATAAAAATATTCGATTAAGTAATTATGACATGTATGACTTATTGTTCACAATATTTTATCCCTCCTTTTTGTGTAAAGAAAAATCATATAAACTAATAAGCACCCAGTCTGTACTGTTCGTTTATACATAGGTCTCAGAAAAAAATGGAATGAAAATAACATTATAATCTCTGCCAAAATTATTTCTAATTTTACAGAATGCAATGCCGTACGATAGGCAGCATATGTACTAATAATTGACCCGATTCTAAAACGAAAGTAGACCTTTTACACGTGGTTGACGTGTGTGTTAACAAGCACGCAAGAATAGATTGCATTACTGGAAAAAGTATCTTAACTTTTTATTTATTATTTTGTTTTTTAAATGAATTACCGCATATAACATGTTCGAGGTGTAGTGCATACTATTACAAGCCATATGCTCATAGACTTGAAGAAAATCTATGTACAATGAAAAAAGAATTAACGAGGCCAAGTCTAATTTTATTTCTGCCATAGGGATTTTGATAATTTTTTGAAAATTAGTTTTCACTGTTATATTTTTTTTGTTTTAGGATTTAAAAAATCGAATGTTTACCACCCCGATTTCTTAGTGGGTCATCTTAAATGTTGTTAAACTTTACTATTGGACCCTATGGGAATTTGTTGGAAAATCGCCAAATTATTACATTTTTTCAATTTTTTTTTTGTACTTCTGCTCTAGAGATTTCTTTTTCATTCAAGTAAATGAAAGAAAATGTAAAAAGTCACCAAATTGTGATATTTCAAAAAAGTTCACCATCTCGATTGGTCTAGGTAGTAATTACTAAGTTAATTTTTTTCGAAGTCAAATACTCTAAAATTACCATATTACTGTGTTAATACATATCTTTGCTGATGAATTATCGGTGCATACAATTTTTTTTGGGGGGGGGGGGCATAAATAGCAATTTTAGATTGCTAGTATGTGGGAAGTTATGTCATCAGTTTTTTGTATAATATCTATGGACGTCTTGAACATACAAGCGAGTCATGCGTCATTCTTTAGCCTAATTCATTGCTTACAAAATCCGGTAATGGTGACGTTGTAAGAGCCATTTCAACGTTTTTTTTCCAATAATTGTCGTAAAATCACATTTGCAGATCAGTAGGATTCACAAATAATGTTAATTTTGTATTTAAATGAAAATAATTAATGACTGTATGAAATTCAAAAGCTGTGCAAAGTGATGCGCACAAGAACTAGACTCGGCCTCGTTAAATCAAGAAGTTTATTTCATATACTGAAAATCACACTGCATAAGATTTATCTCATGTAAAGTGCAATACTGATGGCTTAACAAAAAACTGTAATTTTGCTTCTATCAGAGATTATTAAAAGCTATTTAGTCGCAAATATGAAGAACAGAAGTTTATAAATGTTCTAGTTTTCTTTCATTCAAATAGTTAATTACAATTTTGCAACAAATTTTTCCCATGTCAGACATGCAGCTCATACTGCTTCAATATTCGCAGGGAGAACTTACATGTATTTATAAATCAGAGAATTAGAACTAGCGCACTGTCTACATGTATATAAAAAGATTATTCAACAAATTAAAGATGATTTAATTTTATTATTTAAACCTGTCACATTCTTCAATAAAAAGACAAAGTGTACGCTTAATGAATAGATTTTTTGGACATATATTTAATACTGTCTTTTTAAAGCATGTAATTGAGAGCAAGTAAATGGAAAGTGTGGGGGGGGGGGGTTCAACTTAATGTGCTCATTCAAATTTCAGTTCTTCACACGGTAAAATAAATTGATATTTACAACCATTGACTGTATTAAAGATGCCCACTAAATGCTTTATTTGACAGAACAAATACATGTGAGAAAAAAATTTAAGATGAGATTTTTAAATCTTTCTGAATAAAAAATACACTTGTTTTAAAAGTACTTGGGGAGAAAAACCACGTACTGCAAATGCAACAGAATAATTTTCTTCAGATAATGACAACTACGTGTAAGGAGAAATGTAAAGAAAAGCATAAACATTTATGAAAGCTGAGGGGTCACGTGACGCGGGACAAGGTAGACGCATTGTACTGAGCTGCCGAGTCTTCTGACAATATTCGCATATCTACTGAGTTTGGATTATTCATTTTCATTGGATATGTGTCAGGAATCTTTCCTGATTATGTACATATGTTTATTTTTTCTGGATATTTAATTTTGGACTTTTGATGGACTTTTGATTTGATTGTTTACAATCCGTGAATTAGGGTGAATACCTACTCACCTGTACTCCCTGTATTGTATGCTAGCTACCTGTACGACTACAAGTACCGTCATGGCTGAACAGCTCTCAGAGCAGCTCTCAGAATCAACGATTAAACCGTTATATCTAAAGGATTCAGATATTCAATGCAAAGACAAAGGTCGGATCACAGACTTTGAGCTTATGGAAGCGTTACGGCCAAAGTGGGCAATTCCCTACATTGCTTACAGCTTGATAGAAACCTGTGGCGTTTTTATCTTAAAGACAAAGAAAGCAGAGACAAGCTTCTTTCAGAGGGATGCGAGATCAACAACATATCCCTGTCCTTTTTCGAAACAAATCCGTATTCCTCAGGAAATCATAACGCGAACAAAAAAACTTTAAAAATCAGAATATGTGGGTTACCGCTTTCGATATCTGACACCTCTGTAATAGAGCTTATAGAAAAGCTCAAAGTAGATCTGAAAAGCAAGATTCTTTATGAAAAAATCTGACACCCAGTCACAAAGAGAATGACGAGTGTATTGAATGGAAACCGCTTCGTTTACGTAGCACCCCTTCCTCCGGGAACATCTCTTGCTAGAGTACAATACTGCGCGGGGCTAAGATGCCTCATCTTGCACTATGGGCAACCAAAACACGAAAGGAAACTTGTGTGTACCAACTGCTGGGACACGGATCACACCAGGGGCAACTGTAAAAACGAACCTAAATGCAAGGTGTGTTTGGAGCGAGACCATTCCCCTGGAGATCCTAAATGCAGATTCTACGAGCCTCAGCAAAATGTGATCGCATTCAATGGAGAAGATAACGTGCTATCAAATTTCTTCCCCTGCGAAATCAACCTTTACGGGTTTCGTCACAAATCGGCTGAGCGTGCCTTCCAATATGCTAAAGCAACGCGGTGTGGCGACATCGATGCAGCCAAAAGTATATTAGAAGCGGACGATGCTCTTTCTGCCAAACGACTCGGTGACAAAGTCGGGATCAACGATCAGTGGTCTTCTACATGTGAAGCCGTCATGGCCGAAGTGATCGATAATAAATGCGCTCAGGTGCAGCAGTTCCGGGAAAAACTACGATCGGTCAAAAGAAATGTGATATTAGCCGAATCTACATACAACGACACCTGGGGGACAGGGCTCAACAAGACAGGAACAGAAAATACCTAGCAGCAAGCGTGGCCGGGTAAAAACCTCTTGGGGCAAATACCAGGTACTCAGCAAACTCGCAAAAAAGATCCGTAAACGCAAAAAAAGCGATCAATGGAGCAGTCCTCAACAGAAGCAAAACTCAAAACAGAGCAGCAAACAGCGCGACATATCAGTGATTATCAGTGAAATGCGCGCCCGTCAGCAGGGACCCGGTTCTGCATCCGGAAGTGATACCTCATCCGAGGCGGACGGAGATAACAAGGAAATGTAATGCTCTAACAGACTGCTTCTTTTGAATTGAAACTCATGATCATGATGCCGGTATGTTTATACTATTATAATATTTTACATATTATATTGTATTACTGTAT